CCGGTAAACTTATTTATATATAGTGGTTATAAAAGAGAGTTGAAAACAGAAGTATAGTGTAGAAATGTGGTCGTATACTAAATAAAGCGCTCAATCAATCTTTAAAGTCAGTTAGTCAGTAACAACCGATATCTCGCCTACTCCATAAATGACGCAAGTTGTCAAAAGTTAGTTGAGCCTTCGGTATCCGTGCTGAGATTTCGTCACACACCAGACTACAAGGATTGATGAGACTCGCAAGATAAGTGAAGTGATCTACAAGCTCAACTACTTCATTCTCTATCATTAGTTCGGGTGTCGATGCAACCCAATCCTGAAGTAACAATTTGCATTTCAAGGGGGAGAATCGCATCTTGAACATGCTTGCATTGTTGCTTACGGTGATCAAAAGACTATATATTTTGTCAGCGTCTTCATCAAATAGAACTATGTCATCGGAATATTCTAAGTCAACAAGTAAATCTCCCGGTAAAAGTTCAACTCTTGGAAATTTAGATAAGGAATGTGTTATCTCTAATAGCTTGTCTGCGATAAAGTTAAACAAGAATGAAGAGAGCGGACAGCCCTGACGAAGTTGTGTTGTACAGACTTGTTTGCCTAGTATACATATATATACACAACTATACTAAGTGTAAATGGGGAGAGGGTGTTGTTGGCAGAGGGGACTCGAACCTAGGACCGTTGGTTTCGTACACGAATACCCAACCTTTAAATCATTAAATGTATGTGATTTAGTAATAATTAAAACAAACCTGTTTATAATTTTTACAATCTCCATTACATGTATTCGTTTTAAAATCATAATTTTTATGTTCTTCTAACCAATCTTTCATTGCCCTATAAAATGTAATAGAGTTAAATCATATTGCATAATTATAAATCTACCTTTCAATTGTTGGATAATCGCCTAGATTTTGTCCAATTGATTCAAAATCACCAATAATAAAATCATTTGGATCATTTGAATCATATTGACATCGTTTAGCTTGTTGTTTGGCTTTGTCAGCTAAAAGTTTATTCCATTTCTTGAGAATAATAGATTATAAAAACTGTATAGAATACGATGTATTTAATAAGCTAATAATGAGAAAATCGAATGGAAATAGGTAAGGGGGCTTATTACTTATGGATCATTTTACAGAACGTTTTACTTATTCTATAAATAAGAATATGATGTAATCAGTTCGACTAAACTGTGGTCGGGTAGTAGGGGTGGCCTATGTGATCATGTCATTAATTTCATTATAATCCGATTCAATTAATACTATCCATCTTTCTTTTTCTTCTGATGGCTGATTAGATTATGAAGACCTCGACATCTGAAGGGAAGCAAGAAATACAATCGAAAGGTGAATGCAACTAGACGATTTGCACTTTGCAGATAACCTGATCCTTCTATCCCATACACACGAACAAATGCAAGTCAAAATAAGCAGTATAGCAGGAGCCTCTGCATCAGTAGACCTAAACATATACAAAGGAAAAAGTAACATCCTCAAATATAACGCGGAGAATATCAGCGCAATCACACTCGATGGAGAAACTTTGGAAGAAGTGGAAACATTCACGTATCTGGATAGTATCATTGATGAACGTGGAGGATCTGATGCAGATGTGAAGGCACGGATTGGTTAATTATTCATACAAATGAAGAAAATATACAACTCGAAACAATTCCCTGTCTCAACCAATATCAATGTCACAATCTTCAATACGAATGTCAAGACAGTTCTACTGTACGGAGCTGAAATATGGAGAACTAATACTACTATCATCAAAAAGGTACAGGTATTCATAAATAATTGTCTACGCTAGATACTGAATATCCGTTAGCCGGATACCATCAGTAACAACCTACTATGAGAGAGGACAAACCAACTTCCAGTTGAAGAGGAAATTAGGAAAAGATAACGGAAATGGATAGGACATACATTATGGAAATCACTAAACTATATCACGAAGTAAACGCTAACTTGGAATCGTGAAGGAAAACGGAAAGTGGAAGACCAAAGAACACATTACGTCAGGAATTGAAACAGACATGAAAATAATGAATAGGAAGTGGGAAAAAAAACTGTGAAAAGCTTTGTACCCATTTTGTAGATTACACTTCTATTTACAGATCGATCAATATCGACTTACCATTTTTGCTAGTTTTACAGCTGGAGGTTGACCAGGTATCTTACAATTTTGTACATCTTTACGAACTTGTTTATGAAATCGGTAGATTTTACGTAATTCATCGGATAACTTTGTTTCCACATATAGAAATGTGAATAATAATAGTAAATAGCTAATTAAACTAATCTTAAACATATTTGATGAGAAGAATGCATAATTAGCATATTTATACAATATATATATATATGACAATGACAGGTTATATATAGGGCATAGTTCGATTTCTGTATAATCATTATCAATGATTAAATGTTACTGATTATGAGTTGAAAGTGAAAGATTGTTTACTTGTCAATTCGGGCTTAATTTCCAGGAAGTAGTTGAAGAACTTACTTACTTACTTACGCCTGTTACTCCTAATGGAGCATAGACCTACGACCAGCATTCTACAACCCACTCTGTCCTGAACCTTCTTTTCTAGTTCCATCCAATTTCATTAACTACTATGGAAAAAAAGGATATGTTATAATAATGGATTTATCACTGTATCGTAACGGTTAAATGCAACAATCAAACATTCTTATTGTCTATTGCTTTTCTATGACAATGGAATAGGTTTGGTTTCAGTAAGGAAGTTGGAGGAATACTAAACACACTACTTTTTTTACTGGAAACACATAACAAATATCGGTAATTTTTAGAATGCGGGGTTCGTGGAGATTGTGGTAAGCACAGGATGAATGTTTCATCCGAGTATGGGACTGCTCAACAGTGCGTGTCCATGATCCTGCACTCAGAAATTCGAATTTAGGGTCTTTGCTCTCGCGTGCAAACGTCTGACCTCTAGAACAATGAGCCAACATACAACGGTGTTAATTCCCACTAGTCACTGGCTTCAAGATGGATTTCCTCGAATGCTAATGAGAAGCCGTGACCAGTGGATTCTGATCTGTGTCGGATAGAGACAGGTATCTACCACGGACAATAGATGAAGGGTTACGCAATATTATGGATTGATTGAAGTTGAACATTTGTACCGTTAGATGTCGGCTCAGTAGTCTACGGGTTATGCATTCACCCGCGAGACCGATGGTCCCGAGTTCGAGACCTGCATGCGGGATTGTGGATGCACACAGATAAGTAGTTCCATACTGGGATGAAACTGCCGTCAAGTGCCTCCAGGCTTCCAGTGGTGATCTAGCATAGATCGACTCATGGATTCAACTATTAAAATATCGTTAACACGTATTTTATGATTTGCAATCATTTCATTCATTCTTACTGAAAAATAACAGATTAACTTAGGACAAGTGCCTAAGATTTAGTGAGATGACAAAGTGACAACTAACTGAATTGTAATAAAATCCAAGATCTATTATTTTATTGATAATATCATAATACCCAACGCATCTTATAAGTTCATCATGTGAAGGGACAAGGGTATAATTAAACATGACATCAAAGCTATTATCCCACCGTTATTTTATTGCGTTGCATTGTTAATAGTTTTATAACTAGGCAGCGTCTCCCAATTGGCAGATAAGTCGACTATGTTCATCAGTACATTATACACTTAACAGTTGAATTCATGAGTCACTTAAAACTAGACCATCATGGAAAAAAGACGGCCGTTTCGTCCCACTATGGGGCTCCTCAGCAGTGCACATCCATGATCCCACCCTGCAAGATTCGAACCCAGGACCTATCGGTCTCGCGTGTGAATGCTTAATCTCTGGACCAACTGAGCGGATATCCAGAGGTGTTAATGTCTAACTTCAACGAATCCATCAGATCGAGCGACACATCTACCATAGTCTTCAGTGAGTTACTATCTCACAACAGACCCAGTTTAACCCCATCAGTCACTGCTTTTCACTAGAACTCTAGGAAATATCTCATGAATTCAGTCATTAGTGAGAATATGATAATTATTATTCAAAGAGGGTTTTGTGGAGATTTTTAATGTTGGCGAGTCTCATACTAAAATGAAATAGCTGTCTAGTACTCACAATTGATTGATCACTGGGTGGTGACCAATGTCATGCGTGTCTAGTCCGTATTAGTGCAGATCGAATTCTATCGACCATGATGCAATGTGACCACCAGTCTAGATGATTCGACACTGTGTGTACTATTGTGAGATTAGATGGTGGTTGAAGGTAGTCGACAGAAAACCTTGGACCCGGGTTTCGTGCTACTTAGCACTCGTCCGCAAAGCGTACCTGTAATCCTGGGGGAAATAGTGCTCCCTGACGGATTTGATCCTGTGTCACCCAGCTTCATAGTCAGAGACGTTACCACTGAGCTATCCGAGATCGAACCCGCCAGGGAGCACCATTTCCCTCAAGATAACAAGTACACCTTGCGGACGAGTGTCAAGTAGCACGAAACCCCGGGTCCAGGGTTTCCTGTCGACTACCTCCAACCACCATCTAAGCCATCTAGTACTTCCATGTTCGTAGTAGTGATTTACCTTTAATTGACTCATGATCTCAACGATTAAAATGACTTATAATATCCATAAGAACCCCTTTTATTAATTATCCAATAATGAGGATATTCTATAATTTATTACATAATCATATATATATATATATATATATATATATATATATATATATAGAAGAGAGAGAGAGAGAGAGAGAGAGGGAAGGATTGAGGGAGGGAGATTTAATGTTGGATTAATGACATGTTGTTGCTAATTGAAAAACAATCAAAAACCACACAAAAAAGTGTCAAAATTTATTGATTTTTCAATAAATAAATAAAAACTTTTTGTATAAATTTTTCATTTTTTTTTATTCAATGATTATTTGATATTCAATTCAATGATTCAATTAACTTATAAAATTTACTTCATTTTCTTATTCAATATCTTAATGATAAATACAGAGAAATCATCAAAGGAGATGATTTTTAAATTTCATAATAAGGTACGAAAAGATGTACTGAAAGGTGTTTTATCGGATCAACCTAAAGCGAAAAAGATGCCTAAACTTGTAAGTTATTGTTTGAATACTTACTTAGTTACTTACTTAGTTACTAATGCCTTTAAACCCCTAATGGGGGGAGTATAGGTTACTTATCAGTATTTTTCATTCTTATAATTAACATAAAAAGGAAATTTGATTATAGTTGGAAGATTTTTGGAAATTAGTTCAAATAGAAGTTGGATGTTATTTGATGAATCAATAGATAATAGGGTGAATTGGACAGTTGAACTGGCATCTAACGATGTTAATTGCGTCTAGTGATTAAATTCAAGATGGATTCTTTTGAATTTTAGTGAGGAGCTGTCGTCAGTGGATTCTGATCTGTGTCGGATAGAGATAGGTATATCTACCTTGGACAATAGATGAAGGGTTGCGCAATATTATGGATTGATCGAAGTTGAACATTTGCAATGTTGAATGTCCGCTCAGTGGTCTATTAGTCTCTCTTGCGAATGTTTAATATATAGACCACTGAGTCAACATTCAACGGTGGAAATGTTCCACTTCAATCAATCCACAATGTTGCGCAACCCTTCATCTATTGTCCGAGGTAGATATACCTATCTCTATCCGACACAGATCAGAATCCACAGGCGACGGCTTCTCACTAGAATTTCAAAAATCCATCTTGAAGCCAGTCACTAGTGGGAATTAACACCGTTGTATTTTGGCTCATTGGTCTAGAGGTCAGACGTTTACGCGTGAGACCGAAGGCCCAAAGTTTGTAATAAGCCTTCTTATCTATTTGTGTATTGTTGATTTCACTTGAGATTGTTCTCAGAACATTAAGCGTTTGTAATGATAGAGTTATTTTGAAACGACTATGTTGATTTTATTAATTCATATTTTCAAAGTGAATCAGTTCATGGTACATTTTAACACTATCCAATCTTATTTATTGGAGTATCATCTCACCTCATACAGGTGAGTGAAAGTTGTTAGATCGATTCTTGTGTGTAGGGTCGTTGATAAGTGTCGTTGAGGTGATCAATACGAGGATGAAACGACAGTTTTCTGATATTAATCGGTTAATACTTTTAATCAAATTCTCAATATGTTTGAATTCTATAATTAGTAATCAACTCTTCAATAAGACTTCATGGATTCATTCTGAATGGATTACAATAGTTTAATCAACATTTACTCATCTTTATTAGTCACAATATTTAATGAAGTGACGTTTTATAGTACTTTGCTAGTAGTTGTCAGAATTATGAAAAGAAACGATCATATTAAATTAGCTTCATTAAAGTGAATTTATTACTATCATAGAGTAATTCTGTTAACAACATATTTAATCTGGAGTATAGTAGATTTTGAAGAAAACAACCTTAACTCATAGTGTTTTGTTTTACTTTATTTATTATTTATTTAAACACATAAAGATTAGTACAAGATGGCATTGAACAGATATACGCCACATAAATCGTTTGGTTTATGTTAGGGCTGGGATACTGTCCGGGTGCCTAAAAACCGAAGGTGGTTTTGTTGGAGAAACACTGGAGCAACTTAGGGAGATGCAGTCCCATGAGGACCGGTGATCAACGATTGGTTCATACACCAATTTTTCTCTCAGGATCCTGGAATCATGTACACCATCAGTTTGGGATCAAGAGTTTCCAACACCCCTAGGTGGAATCTCTGTGTCCGCCGACCCGATTAAAGCGCCGGACATTTGCTTTTTGTTCTCTCAGTTTCGTAAATAACAGTACTGCCGCGAGAAGGTAGTGAGTAGGGACTTCCCTGAAGGTAGTTGCATGCACGTGTTCACTTGAGAGCATTTCGACAGGGAAATCGGCCATACCAGGGTATCCAGGGCTTTTTAAGTAAATGGCAAAACTTCTTAATCGTAATGTTAGGCATTCATGATTTGCACTATTCAGATACGCTTTAAGTTGATAATTGATGAGATTTTTTATTATGTACTAACAGGACCTGAATGACGTTATAACGTCAAAGGCCTTTAGACAAATGTTCCGTTGACTTTAGAGATTTCAACTGTCAAATTTAAATGTAGCAAGTTCACTAAGAAACTTAAATTTCTGCAGTTCGATTGTATTTCAGATCTTGATATAAAGTCCTAAATCACAGATGTTTGGTAGCTTGCTAAACATTCAGTGTCAAATGAATATGTGGATTGAGCTATTATATTTGTTACTTATGAATTTAGCTAAATAAAAGAATAACTCCCTTTCGCTTAAATGTTAACCACCTTGAGTCAGTGTGAACTTTGGGACTTGTCTATATTTAGCTGCTAATCGAACCAATTTGTGTTTCATATATTATTTGCTTGAGAAACACGATAAATGTGATTGTACATTCATTGGTGATTATCTGGACGTTTCTAACCTGTGCTTTGATCACTATGTTAGATCACTTTTCTTACTCATGAGGACCAGTCTTTTGTGATTTCTCTAAGTTCTTAAAGTACAGAATTGTCTTTAGAACTGGCACTGGAACGATGTGAAGACTAAAGATAATGAAACAAGCCATATGAAAAATCAAACTTTTGAGAACTTATAATGATACTCAAAACAAAGGAAATGAAGTAAAGAAGAATGTACTATGATATGTAGGAAGCGCTTTGAATCAGACCATTTAGATTTAACCCGCATTTGTAAAATGATATTTTTATAAATTTAGTTCATGTATTTATTAGACAGATTACATTTTCATTCGTTAAGGGATTACTGTAACAACACATGATATCCATGGTTTGATACTGATAAACACTTTTCTATAAACGAGTCCAGTTACTAGAGAAGAAAGCGAAAGCCAGAAAGCAAGTTTACTAGGCTAAAATTGAATCATATCTGTGAAAGATTAATACTATCAATGGTTTGTATTTTATTTCTTGAATATAGAAACTATTGAGATTAGATGGTGGTTGAAGGTAGTCGACAGGAAACCCTGGACACGGGTTTCGTGCTACTTGCCAATCGTCAGCACGGTGTACTTGTAATCTTGAGGGAACTGGTGCTCCCTGGCGGATTCGATCCCGTGTCACCCAGCTTCACAGTCAGAGACGTTACTGGCGGCCACATTGCAACATGATCAATCGCATTCGATCTGCACTAAATAATGACTTGACACACATGACATTGATCACCACCCAGTGATCAATCAATTGCAATATAGGAACTATGTTTGACCAATCACGAGCAAGTATCATTCGCTGGTTTCTGATTGATCCATTATAACAATGATTACATTAAATTACATAATTACTGTATTACATATCTAGTTGAAATAACTTTGTGGGACTCCTCAGCAGTGCGCATCGACGACCTTTCCCCCCGCAAGGTTTCGCGCGCTAGCACTTAACCACTAGACCACTAAGCTGGCCGGCATCCAACGGTGTTAATGTCTAATTTCAATTAATCCACGAAATTGAGCGACACATCCACCATTGTCTTCAGTGAGTTACTATCTCACAACAGACTTAGTTGAACTCCACTGATCACTACTTCTCACTAGAACTCCAGGATATACCACATGAAGCCAGTCACTAGTGAACATATGTTGATTAATATCAGATGGGGTCTTTTGTGAATATTATAGTAATTTCAATGGTTTAGATCATGAGTCAGTTGAAGCTAACTTTGTTTAAAATATTAATATTATTTACTTGAATTTTAAGAAATGGAATCAACTTTTAGCTGAAAAAGCTAAAGATCATGTTAAAAAATGTATATTGGATAGTGGAAATCTTGGAGATTTATACGTTGGTAAATTTGATTCTGTTGGACAAACTGTAGCGGAGCATACAACAATACAAAAGTAAATTGTGTATAAATATTAACATTTTATAAGATATCTAGAACTATTTTTCATAATTCAGTTTTATTTTTTATGCTTATGTTTGTTAAGATTTGATCGTCGCTGATTGCTGTGCCGGAAAATAATGCTAATCACTTATATTCGGACCGAGGGACCTCGGCAATTCCCACGATGTGAAAGTAAGAACACAAGACTGGTATAAGTGAAAATTTATTAGCCCCAAACACTATGACGACGACGACGACGAATCCCAATAGTCTAAAATACACTGGTTTATATATTGATTGTACACCCATTTTGATTAATAATTAGGATTAAATCACATACTCAGTTATAACAAATCACTTACTGAGCATAGTTTCTGTCAATGGAATACAAGAATATCCCATATTATACAGAAGAAAATATTATACTGGAAAAACAAATCAAATACTACACTGAATGATCCTCATGTTGAATCAAAACGGATGTAATATTGGAGTAAACTCATAATCAGTAATTCAATCGAAAATCGATATTCCTTTCCATTATATGAATGTTAAAGTTAAGGGTAGGGGATTGAAGGCTTGTGATGATAAAACGTGACAATATTCACTCCTTATGAAGTAGTCCAGTTTCAGTCATTACACCTTGGATTTAAACCCACTTAAATAAACTCTAATAGTACTAATTAGCTTGGATATTTATGGTGAGTTTTGGTCAAACATTTCTTACAGATAATAGTTGAATTCATGAGTCAATTGAAGCTAGACCACCATGGAAAACCTAGGAAGCACTGGACGGCTGTTTTGTCCTAGTGTGAGACTCCTCAGCAATAGGCATCCATGATCCCGCCCCCAGCGAGATTCAAACCCAGGACCTATCAGCCTCGCACGCAAGGTGGGATCATGGATGAGCAATTTTGAGGAGTCCCATACTAAGACAAAATGGCTGTTCAGTACTTCTAGGTGTTACATGATGGTCTAGCTTCAATTGACTCATGAATTCAACCATTAAATTACTATAATATCCACAAAAACCCTTCTCTGACTTCTTACATTATTGATTTTTTTCAAATTTCAGTATACTGGATACTTGGTTGGAAGAAAAAAATGATTATAATTTCGAGAAAAATACATGTGAAGAAGAATGTGGAAATTATAAACAAGTATGTTGTTTCAGTTTAGGGTTTTGTGAAGATTGTAAAGTTTTCACAGTTTTCATTATGAACTAATATTGACTGGGTTACCACTGAGAACCAGGAAGCACTGGATAGTTGTTTTGTTTTCTAATACGATACTCCTTATTAGGGTACATCCACGACCCCAACACAAAAAGTCAAACCCAGGAAGTTTGCTCTGACGCATGAACTCTTAACCTCTAAATAAAGGAGGTTAATGATTAATAGATACTTAACTGAAACAACTGTCCGGTACTTTCTAGTTTTCATTGATGGCCTAACCAGAATTAATTCATGATTTAAACAGTGGACTGTATTTTGGATTCTCACAAATCATACAGATTTAATGGTTCGAGAAAACTATTAGTAATGGATCTTATTTATTTAAGACTCGAATTTTGCGCGCGTATATTGTGTGTGTGTGTGTTGCAATTCAAAGCGAGTTCTGTGATCAATAAACCATTGTGTCAACTATAAGCAAAGATGGCTAACAGTGGAATTCAGGACGTGCGTTTCGTCCTTTTTGAGATCGTGTTCTGATTTGGGGACTTTTCGAGTAACGTAGTATCCAAGAATACTAAGCAATAAGAATAGCTAGATTGTATTAAGAGAAATTATAACACAAGTATACTGACCAACTTGTTTAACTAACACTATATGTCATAATTTGCACATGAAATTTAAAGTCGATATATTTAGGGTTTTCATCAAGATTCTAGCTATTGAAAAACTCAAGAAGTACTACTTCAATGGTTCCTCTATTATTTTCCTTCTCTGTCCTTTTATATAGATAAGAGGCGATAACCATATAAGGTAAAGATATATCATACAAATAGCCTTAAATGACCAATTAGATTACACATGAAGGACTTTAAATATAAAAGCGAATTTGAAACATCATTGAGTATAGCTTGTTGCTGAAAGTGATATTTTTGGCTAGATTTCGTATTTTGTATGATTTGGATAATGATATTATTGTGGTCTGCTAACACGACTTCATATGTAAATGTGAAAACGAAGTGCAATAGTCTGTTTTAGGGTTAAGATTAGGTTGGTAGAATTAGTCATTTTATACCAAAACAATCAATGTTAACATCCTGACTCTAAACATAACTTCTATGCTCTGATACCATAAACATAACATTCTAGTTAGCCTAACAGCAGTTGTAGATTATATTGAAGAATACCATGTTTTCCAGTTCAGTTTCCCAGTCTCTGATTCCTTTACTTCAATGTTACCTTTAGGATTTTCTCTAGACTATCAATATAGTATAATTTTACCTCATTAAAATTCATACATCAAATATATTCGAATATAAACAAAAAGGTTGTCATTCGATCATAACTTATGGATGAATTTGAATGGTAGATGATAATCACTTTTCAAGCATATATGAATAGTGGCTAGCAGTGGAATTCAGGACGCGCGTTTCGTCCTATTTGAGACTTATCAAGCGGATGTACCTGAATTCCAGGGTGCTTGAAAAGCATGTGACTTAAGGCTGTATCGACGTAATCTGGACAAGATGCCCATATGACAACAAGAAACTGATCAATTGCAGTCCTAAATAACAATGGAAAGATGCAAGTAAAACAACACCAAGTGAATGTAACTAATCACTGTTTATAACTTTGTATACATGCTTTTTGAACACTCATAAGTTGGTTTCGGCATTAATTTGTGCTGAGAACAAGAACATATAGTAGTATATACACCGGTTATTATTATTATTATTGAAGTGAATGAGAACACCGATAAGGACAACCAAATGTATTCGAACACAGAATTACAGAATCTGAGAACCATACAGTAAATACTTCATTTTCAAAATGTCAATTAATCGTCCCAGACTACATTGTTCTTTCGTCTCCAGATCAACCACTCTCTGTTCTCGTTCTCTTCTCTTTGATCTTTTTAACCTTCTGTCACCAGGCATTTCACTTTCGATTAATGATACATACTACTTATATAGGTCTATATCAGTAGCATATACTAGATTGTCCTTAATAAACTTGGAAACAGTTATTTCCAATATAATATACTTAATATACTGAGAGGCAAGTTTTTTTATTTTCTCAAATATCTATGTAGATAGTATGGGCAAACACTACAGACATTGGCTGTGCTTCAAATAAATGTGGTAACAGGTATATGGTTGTGTGTAATTACGCTCCAGGGTAAGTTATGATAGAAAAACTTAACTCTTGACTTTATATTCTTATTCTCAATAGTATGAAATGAGTCAAACTCAAGTTGGTACAGAAAAACATATTGTTTGTTGATATGGGGTTGTTTCACTGTGTGTGTGTGTGGTCTAGTTTTCTTGAACACATTTTAATGTATACAACTGGATAAGAGACGGGTGGAAGATAGAGATGCCTTTTACACCTATAATCAGGTTGACACAACTTTTGAATATATATGTGAATCACTAAAACTGAGTCAAACTCTCCAGGGATGAATCAATAATTTACTCCATGCAACGATCATGTTTATTATTGTTGTCAGAGTAAAATATCAAAATCTTATAAAGTAATCCAGTTATATAGCATGATTTTCATTCAATGAATAACCATCCTATTTAATTTACTGTTAGATCTTTGATCCATTTACGAACTATTATGTAGGAGAGAATGGTCTCAATCTGCCTCCAAACGCCCTGGTACGGTCAAGAATGGGGAAAGGCGGCTCTTTTTCTCTCTCTCGAAATGCTCTCACATGGCCACGTGCATACAACCACTGACAGAAAAGTCATACTACCCTCTCGCACCACGAGTGTTGTTTACGAAATAAAGTGGATGGAAAGCGAATGTTCGTTGGTGGACACGGAGGATCCATCTAGAGGAGTTTGGAAATCCTGGTTCAAAACCAATGGTGCACATGGCCTCGAGGATCCTGAAGGAACAAATGGAATGTGAACCTATTGTTAGTCACCGGTTAACATCAGACTGTATCTCCTTACGTTGCTCCACTGCCTTGTGGGTTAGTCCTTTAGGTCAGAGGCTCTGGGTGTGGTCCCCTAAGAATACCATATGTTTCGGTTTTTGCATCCAAGCAGTATCCGAGCCGTCACACAAATCGAATGACTTATGTGGCGCATAACTGTTTGGCGCCTCCTTGTACGAGTGTTTACGTGTTTAAATAAATAAATAAAATCTAGTCTAAAGCCTACACAAGATGATTTACTAAGTCCATAGATGGGGATTGCAAATGTATGAGTTAGATTATGGCTGAACAACCTTGAGTGTAAAGAGAGAAAAAAACTATTCTATCACTGATCTGTGACCTGATAAGTAGGCAAGAGGAGAAAAGAGAAGAAAAATTAGCTGGAACGTTACTTAGTTAATACTTATAGATGATATTCCCTGGTTCAGAATAACTGCAAAAGGCACACTGGCAAGACTATAATTTATGGACGAACCAATCAGGTATAAGATTATAGGTTACGGATTTTGGCGCGAAATTCACTCAACCATTCGAATAAATAGAGTTTTGGCATTATAGTTGAAGTTAGTTCGTAAGTCATTAAGTAGTGGGCAAATCATTTTAACAAAATAGAACAGATATCTGTGATAACCAAATGACTTGTGAACCTTGGACAGACTACCGTGATGATGTTATCTTTCAATATTATGTGTTGGAGGAAAACGTCTGCTAGTATAGGATTTTTTTCTCTCCATCCAGATTGAGACTAAGGCAAATTATGACATCTGTTGGGAACTGGATAATCAAAAAGCGCTGGTAACATAGGCTGCAGTTCGGTACCACAATATATACGGATGGTTGAAGAGCTTACAGATGCCTACACACACTTGATTATGTGCATCTTCTCGTTCTTCACGAGCGGCATTTTGTGGGCTCAACAACCGGAGTGTACACAAACATTATTGAATCTACGTGGTCGAGGCTAAAAGAGATTTGGCGACCTTATCATGGCTCCAGAGGGCGTGGAAGATTTCTTTTACCGTATGCCTTACGATTTTATAACCACTGAACCTCTTTCTAACCTTGAAAAGTTTTTGAACCATGCAATTCTTACGTTTTATATGATATATTATTACTCCATAATACCTGGTTCCTGATCGACTGATATTTCTCAAGGTCACCTAAGATTCGTTTAGAGGTCGTTCATAAATTATATTCGCGCCAACCATTTTAGAGTAGATTCTCTTCATTGAAATTATCATTATAAGTAAATATCCAAAGAATTTTGAGGTGTTTTCATTTTGAACAATTAAAAACTATTTAATTGAAGTCATACATTTACATTTTATCGATTTTTCATCCATGTTTTTCTGTATTCCTTAGGGCTGATGATGAAAGGCCATATGAAAAGGATTCATAAGATAGTAAACGAAGTCAAAAATGAAGTGCTAAGTATGAGTAAATAGAATTTTTCATGATTTCAAATAACTTATTTTGAATAAAAAAGAAAACCATATTCGAGAGAGAAGATACATATACCTATAGTGGTTTTATTCTTGCCATCCTTCTCGATGATCCGAATATGTTATAGTTTATAGTTGTTCAAATTTAGGTTAACAGCTTAGGGGTTTTAATTTTAAAAAATATCACTTGTAGATTTTGTGATAAACTTATATTTTAGAATGTATTTAGTTCTCTTAACATCTGATTTGAGTTTCCAGTTGGTTAACACAGTAATATCGATTGTGAAGTAAATAGATATTTTCAGTATTTGCTTATGAAAAGTTACAAATTGTCTTATAGTACATAGCTGAGAGTATACTGCATTATCTTACTTCTATCCTGAACTTCCACATTTACTTCTCTCCAACTAATTGCCACTACTGAATAATGACACTGATTCGATCGTATATCCTTGCCTCTCAGATATCTCTTAACAAAAAGAGCTTTTGGCTAAGTTTGTCCTCAGTGATTTCATGCCCACTAAACATGTCGCGGCCGGTAATTCTAGTCATTTTTTCCATCCATTTAGTTGATGGCTACATCAACCCAAAGTGAAAATGTCATTGAAAATTTCGTTTCAAATATTAGGGTTTATTGTTTCTGTTTTTTATTCGTGATGTCTTATTGTGATATTCTGAATGCGTTTGTAGCAGACAATGAAAGATCGCTGGGGTAGAGCTTTCTGTTCCCATATATCAGTGGTGACAACCAACAGTTTTGTTTAGACCGTGGCGAAATAACCTTTGGAATTCCAACCGTGACATCTTTGTTGCTAGTCACCGTAAACCAGATGATTTTTTCGGCTCTCTTCTTTATGCTACCGTATTGTCCTAGGTTTTTTGGTATCATCTAGTGTTGACGATCTGAATACCTTGCCGGATAAATCCTTGTGAATCCAACCATTAATTGTGGATTTTCGCCTTGCGTTTAAGTGAATGCGTTTGTACGATGATTAGAATTATTCGAACTATTGTATTAACCGGGAATTTCCGAAGTTGTACAAATTAAGTTCAAATAGAACCAAGTTGGCACTAACAAATGTATTGTATTTAGAATTATAAATAAACCAGGAATTAAGTAGAAATTAATCATTAATTCATACGAACATCACAGTTTTTCCTGAGCGGCAGGTTTTCTGAAACTAGAAGTTAAAGTGCTATCACGTAGTAGGTAGGTCGGTTGTAATATGAGAATCATATAGTTAGGATGCGAACGAATGAAGGAAAGACATGGGTGGAAATAGGTAAATAAACTGATCACACAAACAGTACAAATAATAACACACACAGAGAGAGAAGTGGACAGAAATAAAACAATCATTGTAATAATAAATTGTGAATCGTTATAGTGATAATGATAGAAAAATTACTGAGATAACCTGTGGACCATGGACGAAAATGTGAATGCATGATATTTGTACTAATTGATCAATCCTTTGTACTTCATTACTCACTCTTTGCGAATTTCAAATATCATACGTTCATCTGTGCTCATTTAGTTCTTTGTCTTAAGTTGGACTTTAATAAGAATTCTTAGTTAGCAAATAGATTTGACCACTTCTAATTAATATAAGTTGTAAAGCTTTATCTCGTACCTGTCACTGATTAGAAAAGGATTACATATGCCACTAGCTCAAAACTGGAAAACGCATGACGCCTTTTTGAGTGTTCGCTCTTAGATATGCCATTTTTCGGAGGTCACTTTGTAAAATACAATGACTAGGTTTAAGAAGAATGGTTTTTAGCGACTTTATATACCTAGGATGCTGTATAAGATTATCAGATTACCTCTTGTCGGTCTACAGTAAACTCTTTGCTCATATGATTGCCCAAGTTCAGTCATTCACCTAGCTGATTATCTTGGAGTATGTTCTGTGAGACTTATATCTCTTGAGGAGATAGAATATACTACTTTCAAGTCTCAGGACGATGCTATGTGTATGTTATAAACAGTGATGAAACCGCTGTAGAGTAAAACCCACTCAGTCTGTCGTCATATGAAATGAAAATTTGCAACTGTGTTGTCTACATCAGCAATGTAGTTCGTACTGGTGTTCACGTTCTATGTAGTTAATGGACTACGTTTGTAGAACTGTGGTTTAGTTCGTTATTAGTACTGCTATAAAGTAGACTCGATCCTTAAATTGTAGATGAGTCATTGTATGAAAACCTCATCCGCAAGATCTCACATACAATTCACACCATTTTTGGGAAGATCGTTTATGAAATCATAATAAAGAGTCCTAAAAAATTTTCTTTGTGAGATTATGGATGTTGAGACATCCGAGTTTGTGTGCTCTTTGTCTACCATGATAAGAAGCCTTTGGTTCTTCAAGTAGTATCTGAGCTAAATGTCAAATAGGACAATGGAGCCCAAATTCAAAATCTTCGTTACAATGGCGTCAATTGCCTATGTAAATGCAAGAAATACTACATGAACTGTTACTTTCTGTTCGTAGTATGTTTCTTGGATTTCCTGTGCTGTGAGAACACTGAAAGCTCAATATTTATCTTTCTAGACCTGTATCAAACTTCATTCAAATCATTATTTCCCCATTCATTCCTTCATCTGATTCTTAACCATCCCTGAACATATTTGTGTACAATATAACTCTTTATTCTCAGCTTAGGCCTTTAATGTCATCTAGCTTGAATATTAAAGACATTGAGGATGCCACAGGTATTTTTAATTTGACAACACTTTACCCAGCAACACGTTGCATAATTGGATCGTGCCCACCCAGTGAAAAGTCAGAAGTGAGGAGGCTCGAAGATATATTTGGTAGGCCATTGATATATTGAGAAGTGACTGACCTGAACTGCTTAGCAATAGCAGGAGAAGTTGAGCACGGCATACCCACTTGTGATCTGGCGCGAATGCGTGACCGAGCGCCTTGAGCTAGGTGTCGAGGAATAACAGAGCTATTGATTTTGGGGATTTATTTACCACTACAATATAATAGAGTGCCTACACTCTTTTTCCGGTTGACTGGGTTTTACTGAGCTCACAAACATGGTATATGCCAGTATCCAGCTGATTTTCACGTATCGTATCAAAAATACTAAAGTAAATTTTATCAAGTTCTGGTGACTTCCTTTGTCTCAAAAATTTCAATTCTCCTACTAGTCAGGTCCTCGATGCTTCTGAAGCGGGTGTTTATCAAGCACAAGGGACTAGTTGGGTTAGAATATGGAGGATGAGTTAGTTTGCAGAGGCTAAGTGCTGTTGTTTTATGCACAGCTAGATGAGATGATAGCCACTGAGATACGTAGCTAATCAGAGATATCGCGCGGCAACTTCAGATCTTATGTATCACCATTCTCATAACTTTCGCCATATTTTTCCGGTCATGTTTTGGGCACTATTCTGAGGTTTGAATTTCAGCTGAGTCCGGGAACCTTACCAATCACGTTATTAAGGAGTAAAATGTATCTCTCCGTCCAGACTGTGGTGAACCATCCTCGATTTCGGATAGTGGAAGTTCATGAGGATTCATGTAGGAAATAGAGCTTGACAGACGAAAGTGGAACTATCATAAGGCAGTATTCAAAGAGGCAAGTAAATGAAGATTATACAAGCGTGTAGCATTGGCGATCCTAAACATTAAAGCCTTTAAAACCGTCCGGGTGAGTGATTTCATGTGGTTACAGTAAATGTCTTGCGAGGCCTGTGTTTGTTAGAAATTGGATGGAGAGATGTCTCAGTTGCATTAACTATGAGGGTAGTTGATGAACACATCTAAACTCACAATACAGTGCTTTAGTCTTTGTTTGATCATGTTTGCAAAGTTTACTAATGTGGTTGTTTACCAGCGAAAGAAAACGCAACTAATTTTTCGGGTTTTCTTTATTACCTTAACTGACAGGTGAAAATTAGTAGTTTCTGGCGAGTTCAAAGTACCAACTTTGAAAAGAAAGGGACTGATAAAAGAATTAATGAGATTAAAGCCGGAACTTGGTTGCTCATTGAAATAAAAAATTGTAAACAAAAGGAAAGAGACTAGTTGATTTTAGACTTTTTAGCACAAACCAAAAGATAAATTATGTGACAAATTGATCAGTTGAACTTGTAGCAGTTCATGTTACGTTCCTGTCCAGTCCACTCTTACCTACTTAGCTCTGCCAATTAAATGTGTGTTTATAATCTTGTTTGGTATTTATTGACCTTCCCATGTGCGTTCGCTTCTTCGTAGCCCTGTTATTCATAATGTGATCTCTATATCTTTGTTTCATATGTGTCTGTCGTCTATGCTGTAGTTGGCTTGTAATGACTAACAGAACGTGAAAATAAGTAAAGTATAATATGACAGAAATTGGTCTGTGATGCTGACAAAATAGTGAAATATGCGAAATATATGTTCTGTTGAGCCGCAGCAGAATAAATAGCATCGACTAGCGACGGGTGAATTCGAATTTAAATACGTAGTTCCCGTTCGTAGGATGATAATAGTCAAGCCGTGAAATGATAACTGCATCGACGGGTGATATTCGTTGCTGTACTGCAATTGATATTAATCACAAAATGTGAAGTCAGTGAACGTTGTCGTCTGCGTTATGACAGATGCATTGAGTTATCGTTAAATATGTAATGGTAGAATGACCATAGGAACATAATAGTGACTGATTAGACGGGGTACGTAGAGTCGTATTCCTTTTTGGTCGTGAGGCCTAGAGTGGTTTGTGTGGTTTGAGGGAGATGCGCTCGATTTCGTTTGTTACAAAACCGTACCATGGCATGACAAAAATACCAATACATATGGTTAGCGATAGCGACGTATGAGACTGACTTGGGTGTGACGAACAAGAGTGTATCTTTGAGAGACTAGCTCTAAACTCCATGTTCTGATATACCGTGCGATGGGTAAAGAATAGTAGTTGCAGCACTCGAATAATGTTTTTGGGTAATTAATGATGCGGC